TGGTTCAATAATTATGATAAGATCTTTTACGTTTATATTATCAAAACCTGCAGCTGAATTTTTATTTAGATTACTCAAAACTTCATAAATTTCCCTTTCATTTGTTTCCCTTAAATAAAAAGTCCTATCACATTCAAGCTCCCCTAAATCTACTCTAGTCTCCATTTGTGACCATTCCCTATTTACTGACTGCACAATTGATTCACCCACGCTTGCAAAGTATTTATTGAACTCATTTGCAATTCTCGCTGGATCAGATTGCAGCAAACCATTTATTTCCAGAGAGCCTACAGCACTTTTTTTTTTGTTTTTATTTATTAGAGAATTTATGACTTTCCACTGTTTTTTGGGGTTGCTCCCTGCATTGGACCACTGATAAAGTGGTCACATTTGCACATAACTTATATCTTTATTTTTATTTCCAGCTTTGTAAGTGAGAGTGTTGAGCTCTTTATACAATAAAGCATTTTTGATTTGATTTGATTTGATATTTATGTATCAAAGGAGCGCTAACGTACATCCAAAAATGTTGAAAGTCCAACTATGTCTTGGTTCATATAATTAGCTTTGTTTCTGCAGAAATCACAAACCAGTCAGAGTGAATTTCATTGGTTGAAACTAGTTTTCTGGCTGGGTCTGACTGTTTTCAACCAATTAAATTCAGCTGGTTTAGGCACCGTGGTGGAATGGTAGAACAAGCAGTGTTGTTAAATTAAACAGGATTTGGCAAGGTGTGGTTTGGCATTGGCATTAAGTGAATTTTAATCACCACATCTGTGGCGGTGCACCATTTTGGTGAATTTAGCAACACGCGGTATATGGGGAAAATCTATTTTGCTGATCAGCAAATTGCTGATAATGCAGTTTTTGGCTGGATAAGCAATTTAATCAAATCAATCAGTTTGTAAAGTTGCGGTCAGTAGAAGTGATGTGAGCCATGCAAACAATTGCCGCCTCCGTCCGCATCTATTGCCGCCCCCAGTATCAAAAATACGCCTGATGTATTGAATTTTTAATCCAATTTGATGCGATCACTCAGGAAGGGTGCTGTCAACATCAAAAATGATATTTAGAAGATGACCGCCCCCGACCGCCGCCGTTGCCGCCCCCCAGAATTGAAAAAAAACGCTTGATGTATTGAACTTTCAAGCCGATTTGATGCGGTCACTCAGAAAAGGTGCTATCAACATCAAAAATGATATTTAGAAGATGACCGCCCCCGACCGCCGCCGTTGCCGCCCCCCAAAATCAAAAAAACGCCTGATGTATTGAATTTTTGATCCGATTTGATGCGGTCACTCAGAAAGGGTGTTGTCAAGATCAAAAATGATATTTAGAAGATGACCGCCCCCGACCGCCGCCGTTGCCGCCCCCCAAAATCAAAAGCACGCCTGATGTATTGAACTTTCAATCCGATTTGATGCGGTCACTGAGGATGGGTGCTTTCAACATCGAAAATCATATGTAGAAAATGACCGCCGCCGACCGCAGCCGTTGCCGCCCCCCAGAATCAAAAAAACGCCTGATGTATTGAATTTTTAATCCGATTTGATGCGGTCACTCAGAAAGGGTGCTGTCAACATCAAAAATGATATTTAGGAGATGACCGCCCCCGTTGCCGCCCCCCCAGAATTAAAAATACGCTTGATGTATTGAACTTTCAATCCGATTTGATGCGGTCACTTAGGATGTGTGCTGTCAACATCGAAAATCATATGTAGAAAATGACCGCCGCCGACCGCAGCCGTTGCCGCCCCCCAAAATCAAAAAAACGCCTGATGTATTGAATTTTTGATCCGATTTGATGCGGTCACTCAGAAAGGGTGTTGTCAAGATCAAAAATGATATTTAGAAGATGACCGCCCCTGACCCCCGCCGTTGCCGCCCCCCAGAATTAAAAATACGCCTGATGTATTGAACTTTCAAGCCGATTTGACGCGGTCACTTAGGATGGTTGCTGTCAACATCAAAAATGATATTTGGAGATAACCGCCGCCGTTGCCGCCCCCAGAATTGAAAATACGCTTGATGTATTGAACTTTCAAGCCGATTTAATGCGGCACTTAGGATGGGTGCTGTCAACATCAAAAATGATAGTAGAAGATGACCGCCGCCGACCGCCGCTGTTGCCGCCCCCCAGAATTAAAAATACGCTTGATGTATTAAACTTTCAAGCCGATTTGGTGCGGTCACTTAGGATGGGTGCTGTCAACATCAAAAATCATATGTAGAAGTTGACTGCCCCCGACCGTAGCCGTTTCCGCCCCCAAAATCAAAATTTCGTCTGGTGTATTGAATTTTTAATCCGATTTGATGCGGTCAATTAGGATGGGTGCTTTCAAAATCAAAAATGATATGTAAAAGATAACCGCCGCAGCCGTTGCCGCCCTCCAGAATCAAAAAAACGCCTGATGTATTGAACTTTTAATCCGATTTGATGCGGTAACTTAGGATGGGTGCTGTCAACATCGAAAATCATGTGTAGAAGTTGACCGCCCCCGACCGCAGTCGTTGCCGCCCCCAGAATCAGAATTACGCCTAATGTATTGAATTTTCAATCCGATTTGATGCGGGTTCTTAGTAAGGGTGCTGTGTGTGATATACGTGTGTGTTTTGTAATTATTGTAGGTGGCAACCAACCTTTATACACAGCTTTGTCAACTGACAAGTAGTACTTGTTATGTCAGTTGGGTAGTCATAAAATTGCAAGTTGTCAATCATAGCCCCTTGTGTTAAGATGTATTTTCTAATCTGTTGTTAAAGTTATATAAGTAATTTTGATTCTGGGGGCGGCAACGACTGCGGTCGGGGGCGGTCAACTTCTACATATGATTTTCGATGTTGACAGCACCCATCCTAAGTGACCGCACCAAATCAGATTGAAAGTTCAATACATCAGGCGTGTATTTAATTCTGGGGGCGGCAACGGCGGCGCCGGCGGTCGGGGGCGGTCATCTTCTAAATATCATTTTTGATGTTGACAGCACCTTTTCTGAGTGACCGCATCAAATCGGCTTGAAAGTTCAATACATCAAGCGTATTTTTAATTCTGGGGGGCGGCAACGGCGGGGGTCGGGGGCGGTCATCTTCTAAATATCATTTTTGATGTTGACAGCACCTTTTCTGAGTGACCGCATCAAATCGGCTTGAAAGTTCAATACATCAAGCGTATTTTTAATTCTGGGGGGCGGCAACGGCGGGGGTCGGGGGCGGTCATCTTCTAAATATCATTTTTGATGTTGAAAGCACCCTTTCTGAGTGACCGCATCAAATCGGATTAAAAATTCAATACATCAGGCGTTTTTTTGATTCTGGGGGGCGGCAACGGCTGCGGTCGGCGGCGGTCATTTTCTACATATGATTTTCGATGTTGAAAGCACCCATCCTCAGTGACCGCATCAAATCGGATTGAAAGTTCAATACATCAGGCGTGTTTTTGATTTTGGGGGGCGGCAACGGCGGCGGTCGGGGGCGGTCATCTTCTAAATATCATTTTTGATCTTGACAACACCCTTTCTGAGTGACCGCATCAAATCGGATCAAAAATTCAATACATCAGGCGTTTTTTTGATTTTGGGGGGCGGCAACGGCAGCGGTCGGGGGCGGTCATCTTCTAAATATCATTTTTGATGTTGATAGCACCTTTTCTGAGTGACCGCATCAAATCGGCTTGAAAGTTCAATACATCAAGCGTATTTTTAATTCTGGGGGGCGGCAACGGCGGCGGTCGGGGGCGGTCGGGGGCGGTCATCTCCAAATATCATTTTTGATGTTGACAGCAACCATCCTAAGTTACCGCGTCAAATCGGCTTGAAAGTTCAATACATCAGGCGTATTTTTAATTCTGGGGGGCGGCAACGGCGGGGGTCGGGGGCGGTCATCTTCTAAATATCATTTTTGATGTTGACAACACCCTTTCTGAGTGACCGCATCAAATCGGATCAAAAATTCAATACATCAGGCGTTTTTTTGATTTTGGGGGGCGGCAACGGCTGCAGTCGGCGGCGGTCATTTTCTACCTATCATTTTTGATTTTGACAGCACCCATCCTATTTGACCGCATCAAATCAGATTAAAAATTCAATACTTCAGGCGTAATTTTGATTCTGGGGGCGGTATTGACTGCGGTCGGGGGCGGTCAACTTCTACATATGATTTTCGATGTTGACAGCACCCATCCTAAGTGACCGCATCAAATCGGATTGAAAGTTCAACACATCAGGCGTATTTTTAATTCTGGGGGGCGGCAACGGCGGCGGTCGGGGGCGGTTATCTTCTAAATATCATTTTTGATGTTGACAGCACCCTTTCTGAGTGATCGCATCAAATCGGATTCAAAATTCAATACATCAGGCGTATTTTCTATACTGGGGGCGGCAATGGATGCGGACGGAGGCGGCAATTGTTTGCATGGCTCACATCACTTCTACTAACTAACCGCAACTTTACAAACTGATCGCATTCGATTAAATTGCTTATCCAGCCAAAAACTGCATTATCAGCAATTTGCTGATCAGCAAAATAGGTACACCCCGGTATATGGTCTGTTTTAACAGCAATCACACACCAGTCAGAATGAATTTCATTGGCTGAAACTAGTTTTCTGACTGTTTCCAACGAATGAAATACGTTCTGACTGGTTTGTGATTTCTGTGAGAACAGACAAACAGACTGACCTATAATGAATCGGTGAATGATATTTTTGCTATTACATTTGCACGACATGCATTCTAGAAATGATTCCAACCCTGTAAATTGCAAAACGATACCTGTTGCATCTTGTTACCAATGAGCGCCAAGTTGGCATTGTTTATGTTTAATATCTATCCCAGCCACCGAATAGAGATATTTTCTCTACCTATCTCTATTTATGTCTCCTCTTTATTGATTGAGAGAAGGCAGCAAGTGCCATAGCGATATGGATAACGATCTCTATCCGTTACATTACAGAGTTCCAGCCCAGCCCTGGGTACTTTGTAAATTGTAGGTACACTACTTACATCTTTCTCCGAAAATGAGCTCTAAGACTCTTGCTCCTCAAGTTATTGTTCTTACCAACATGGTAAGAACGTTTCCTTTTTGCCATGACGAACAAAACACAAGTTTCACAAAAAATAAAATCAAACAAAATAAAGAATGAAATTGTTTACACAGGTTTACAACAACCAAGGGGCGAACCGGCAGGTTCGGCAGGTGTGTTGATGAAATTGTCATTGGTGGCGTTCATCTTCAGCCGCTTTCCAGGGCTGCGTTCAGGAATGGCTACAGCCAAGCCAAAATTGGCATTTTGCGTTTGAGTTCGGCTCCAACCTACGTGGTTCGGCATCACCGGTGGAGGGGGAAAAATAGGTTTTGGCATTAGCATTGCCGTCCTTGAACGCACCCCAGAGCCGCTTTCCAGTATGGGAGTGTGACGCCCGGAGCTACTCGGGGCGTTGAGCCTCCGAGCTGTACGTACGCGTCAACCTATCAGCTGTCACATCCGTGGGTGGCTATTTATCTATTTATTTCTTGTTATATCTCAAGATTGAACATAGATCAGTGCTCACGCCATGATACTGGAACGGTACAAATCTAGTGCGTGGCGCCCCCGAGGTGCTCTAGAGCGCGCCAGAGCGCGCCAATGTGCATACTGGAAGGCGGCTCTGCTGACGCTTTTGAGCACGTAATCGAGCTTTTGCACGCGCAAATGCTTCAAGCGCGTGTTCGTGTTCCAGCCGTACTGCGCTTCGAGAGCTGCTAACTTTTGCGTTTCAAACACAGAACACTGTGCTGCACTGTGCTTGAAGCACACAGCTGGAAAGCGGCTAATTATCAGGAGTGCTTTCGAAATCGCCCTAGGCGTTACAGCGAGTGCACACCAGCCATGAATAATTCATGGCTGGTGTGCACTCGGTGTGTCGCCCAGGGTGATTTCGAACGCACTCCAGGCAAAGACTCGGGTTGCGTTCGAGAACCTGAGGCGTTTTCTCGCGTCCACTTTTTCTGAAACTGGTTTAAAACTGTTTTGAAACAATACATTCTCGCGATAAACATAAACCCATGACGTCACGTCAAAACTGGTTCAAACCGTTTCGAAATACAATCCAATCCACGTTTTCAAACCATTTTCTCGCGCCAAGAAATCATGAGGTCATGGTAACACTGCTTAAACCAGTTTTGAAAAATGTTTTGAAACATTTGAGACGCGAGAAAACGCCTCTGGTGTGTCTTATAAAAATCACACAGCTGCCGTTCGCAAAGGCAGAGTGTGGATAAAAATCGCACCGTTTTCGAAGTTCGGAAAGGCAAAGCCTAGTACTCATAACTACGAAATTTCGACAAATTGACGTTTTAGGGTGGATTTTCATGCATCCGTTTGTCCGACGAAATATATCCGAAAAATCTTCTATTTTGACATATTTTTATACGATTATGTCAGAATAGAATGTTTTTCGGACATCTTTCGTCGGACAAACGGATGCATGAAAATCCACCCTTAAGCCTAGTACCACAGCCTCCTATACTTAACAAGCCATGAAGTTGGAAATGACGGCAACGTCGCGTATGGTGCTATTTTGTTATTGGGTTATGTGTTTCTGTGTATTGCTTTCATTGTGTATTGTTGCAGTTTAGTATTTTTGTGGGCATTATTGACGAAAAACTGGATAGAAACACGCCAATATATTGCCCATATTTAGTTGATACGTGTTCCTTTGTGCTTTGATTGCAAATTTTTAGCAAATGGGTACAGGAGCAAAAATGAAGGTAAGGTAAGGTTTAACAATAAAAACAATATTAATATTTGTCTGCAAGAGCATAGGTCTCGATATATTACCTAAGATATTTAAACTTGTTCCAGATGCCATGAAACTACTGTGTTCCTGGGTGCAATTCGAACTATTAGGAGTTCCTTAAAAACTGAAGAAATGCAAACATTTTCATTTCCAAAAAAATTCTGAATTGCAAAAAATGTGGATGAAAGCAATACACCAAGATAATTATACCCGAGATTATACAATAACGAAAAATTCTGTGGTGTGTTGTAAACATTTTGAAGAAACCGAAATAATTAGATTTGAAACAAACAAGGATAAAGGCGTAGTTCGAGAGTTCAAACTAAAACGTCCAACTCTTAAAAGTAGGTACCTCTTATTTTCGAAAATCAGCTCAAGTATTTGAATGGACCTGCCTTCCGAAAAAATCCCGAAGAAAGAAAAAGTTAGATTTTCAAAAGACATACTGAAACATAGGCCTATAACACTTTAGACTCTAGAAATATATTCATGGATAGTATATTATATACCTAGGTAGAGAAGTTGGTCCTTATATACCGAGCGCTTTTATAAACCGAGGCGCTCGCGCCGAGGTTTATAATGAGTGAGGTATATAATGGATATAGAATTTTTTTTACTACTGCTAGTAGAAAATGAAAAATTTGTTTAAAATCTGTGCTCCAATCATTTTTTTTTGAACGCCCTCTTGAAAGTGCTGCCCTCTATCAACAGCTTATGATAACTTCCTATGTACCTACAGAAACCTGTATTTTTTTTCAAATTGACGTATGAAATTGAAATTGAACCAATAGAAACATGACAATATCCTTGCGTCATGACGTCATTTTCATTATTGACCTAGGTATTTTTTCATTATTTTCATTATTAACCTAGGGAGAGAAATTCAATTTTTTCTTAGAAAAATAGATTGAATAATGTCTATTTCTCAGGTTAGTAGTAAAAAAAATTAATTATTTGCTGTTCTTATTTATACAAATAGTTATATTATTCATTGAATTACTGTTTTTGGCCCTTTGGTACAATAAATTATGCATTTTTTGTGATTCATATTAATAAAATAAAAAATATATATGTATAAAAACAAACACCGCCAGCACCACTCGGCGGTAAGATTGCGGTGTTGCCTTTTTAACTTCATGGCTTGTTAAATGTAGAAGGCTGTGCTAGTACTCATAACTGCGAAATTCGTATTTTTTTGACATTGCGTTGACAATTTGACGTTTGATACACGCATTAAACGTCAAATTGTCAACGCAATGTCAAAAAAATGCGAATTTCGCAGTTATGAGTACTAGGCTTTATGCGTGAGTCAAACGTCAAATTGTCGAAGAGCGTCAAAAAAGTGCGAATTTAGCAGTCTAGGCTTAAGCCCAGTACTCATAACTGCGAAATTCGCATTTTTTTGACATTGCTTCGACAATTTGACGTTTGATACACGCATAAAACGTCAAATTGTCAACGCAATGTCAAAAAAATGCGAATTTCGCAGTTATGAGTACTAGCACAACCTCCTACACTTAACAAGCCATGAAGTTGGAAATGACGGCAACGTCGCGTATGGTGCTATTTTGTTACTGAAGTTATGTGTTTCTATGTATTGCGTTTATTGTGTATTATTGCAGTTCAGTATTTTTGTGGGCATTATTCATTATTGACGAAAAAGTGGATAGAAACACACCGATATATTGCACATATTCAGTTGATACCTGTTCCTTTGTGCTTTGATTGCAAACTTTTAGCAAATGGGTACAGGAGCAAAAATGAAGGAAAGGTAAGGTAAAACAAGAAAAACAATATTAATATTTGTGTGCAAGAGCATAGGTCTCGATATATTACCTAAGATATTTAAACTTGTTCCAGATGCCATGAAACTACTGTGTTCCTGGGTGCAAATAGAACTATAGGAGTTCCTTAAAAACAGAAGAAATGCAAACATTTTCATTTCCAAAAAAATTCTGAATTGCAAAAAATGTGGATGAAAGCAATAAACCAAGATAGTTATACCCCAGATTATACAATAATAACGAAAAATTCTATGGTGTGTTGTAAATATTTTGAAGAAACCTAAATAATTAGATTTGAAACAAACAAGGATAAAGGAGTAATTCGAGAGTTCAAACTAAAACGTCCAACTCCTAAAAGTACCTGTTATTTTCGAAAATCAGCTCAAGTATTTGAATGGACCTGCCTTCCGAAAAAATCCCGAAGAAAGAAAAAGTTAGATTTTCAAAAGACATACTGAAACATAGGCTCATTTAACTTTAAAATCTAGAAATATATTCATTTAAATCAGTTATTTACTGTTTTTATTTACACAAATAGTTATATTATTCATTGAATTACTGTTTTTGGCCCTTTAGTACAATAAATGATGCATTTTTTGTGATCCATATTAACAAAATAAAAAATATATACTTATAAAAATAAACAGCACCAGCACCACTTGGCGGTAAGATTGCGGTGTTGCCTTTTTAACTTCATGGCTTGTTAAGTGTAGGAGGCTGTGGTACTAGCCATTAATAGGGAAGTTGCACATTTTTTTAATTTTATTTCAAAAATGTGTTCTATTAGACATAGGTAAACCGAATTTTCGCGACGAATACAAAATTTGATTTTTTTTAAAGATAAAAGTCAAAATGACAGTATGTTGGCAATACAATGTAAAATTGTCAATGTTTCCAAAAGCTGCGTCCATGCTTCCGACGAACTACGTTCAATATGACGTCATGGTTTCAATAATTATTATTCTATCAGTATGAGGCAAGTTTTCAGGAAATTGAATAAACATGTTTCACCTTAGATTTTTAAATGATCGAAAGGGAGCAGGATTGTCTTACATTTTTTTTTTTGGTTTCTCATGTTTGGTAGGTGTCGATTGTTTAATTGTGTTCATGAAATCATGGAAGTAGTTGGTCTCGAAAATTCGGTTATAGTCATGCCAAATATCAAGCATTAAAAATCGGCCGTTAATTTTTCATAAATATTTAAAGTTACGCTCGAAATGTCGCCATTTGAAACGACAGATTAGTGTGACGTCACTCGGAAACAAAATTCCGTTGACATGACAGTGACGAGCATTTCGAATAGGGCAATCCAACTACCTGTCAAAAAGAAATTCAAAATTGAGGCTAGTTCATTGATTGAGGCCAATGCCTTTTTATTTTAAAAAAATGCCGTTTTGTTGCGATGTTTGATTTGTATAGAGTCTGTAAAGTGTTGATTTTTTGGAAAATGCATACGTTATGTATTGTACTTATGGCGTTTCCAATTGGTAGATTCAGTGCACACCGAGTGTATTTGCATCCTTTTAATCGACCTGTAGAAGAAAAAGACAGCGATAGAAAAAATTGCACTAGTTCCGCACTAGATCTACCAATCGGAAACGCCATTAGTTATGGGAGG